CGCCGTCGTCGGTCGTCCGTCGTCTGCCGCCCCTCGTCGGTCGTCCGTTGTCGTCGTCGTCGTGGTCGTCGGTCGTCCGTCGTCGGTCGTCGGTCGTCGGCCGTCCGTCGTCTGTCGTCCGTCGTCGGTCGTCCAGCGTCGGTCGTCGGTCGTCGTCGTCGTCGCCACAGGGCTTCAAGATGCCCACGCAGCACGCCCCCCCCATATGCCATCCGCAGTCCGCCGCATGCCACTCGCAGTTCGCCGTTGTCGTCGTCGTCGTCGCCCCGGGACTGCAAGACGCCCACGCCACGCAGCACCCCCCGCACCCGTATGCCATCCGCATGCCATCCGCAGTTCGCCGTCGTCGTCGGCCGTTCGGTCGGTCGTCGTCGTTTTCGTCGTTGTCGTAGTCGCCGTCGTCGTCGTCGTCGCCCCAGGACTGCAAGACGTCCACGCAGCAGCACCCCTCCCATATGCTATCCGCAGTCCGCCGTTGTCTTCGTCACCGTCGTCACCCCAGTCCTGCAAGACGCCCACGCAGCACCCCCCACCCCCCACCATGCCATCCGCAGTCCGCCGCCGTCGTGCGTCGTCTCGTCGTTCGGGACTGCAGGATGTCCACGCAGCCACCCCCCATGCCATCCGCAGTCCGCCGTTGTCTTCATTATCGTCCTCGCCCGTCGGTCGTCGTCCCCTGTAACCCCCCCCTACGCCATCCGCAGTAGTCCGCTGTCATCTTCGTTGTCGTCCTCGCCCGTCGGTCGTCGTCCGACTGCGAAAAGCCCGCCTAAACAGCCCCAAAGCCAGTCCAAGGAAGCCCTGCGACATCTCATAACCGGCCCAAGACGGTCGCAACCTTTCTCCGACAGTGAGTCGCCCGCAAACCCCGACTTTCGTGTCATCACAGCGCCATGGGTTGCGCTAGACCCTAAGCACGCGCGAAGCGCGCGCGCGGTTCTAGCACATGCATGGGTGGGTGTGTGGTTGTTAGTGTATGGGTATGTGTGTGTGTTTGCGTGTGTGTGTGTGTGCGTGTCTGGGTGTGGATGTGGGTGTGGGTGTGAGTGTGGGTGTGTGGGTGTGCGTGTGGGTGTGTGCGTGTGTGTTTGTTTGTGTGTGTGTGTGTTTGAGCTTGTGTGTATGTGTGTGTGCGTGTGCGTATGCGTGTGTGCGTGTGTATGTTTTGAATGTGTTTGTGTGCGGTAAGTGTGGGTGCGCGTGTGTGTGTGTTTGTCTCGTGTGTGTGTGTGTGCGTCTGGGTGTGGGTGTGGTTGTGTCGGTGTGGGTGTGGGTGTGTGGGTGTAGGTGTGGGTGTGGGTGTGGGTGCGGGTGTGCGTGTGCGTGTGAGCGTGGGTGTGGGTGTGGGTGTGGGTGTGGGTACGCGTGTGTGTGTGAGTGTGTGGGCGTGTGGGTGTGGGTGTGTGCGTGTGCGTTTGCGTGTGCGTGTGCGTGTGCGTGTACGTGTTGTGCGTGTGTGTGTGTGTGCGTGTGTGTATGTGTGTGTGCGTGGGTGCGTGTGCGTGTGCGTGTGTGTGTGTGCGCTTATATGTGTGTGCGTGTGTGCATGTGTGTGCGTGCGTGTGTGTGCGTGTGCATGTGTGTGCGTGTGTGTGTGTGTGCGTGCTGTGCGTGTGTGTGTGCATGGTGTGTGTGCGTGTGCGTGTGTGCAAGTGTGTGCAAGTGTGTGCGTGTGCGTGAGTGTATGTGTGTGTGGTTCCGTGTGCGTGTGTGTGGGTGTGCGTCTGCGTGCATGTGTGTGCGCATGTGCGTGCGTGTGTGTGCGTGTGTTTTTTTGTCTTGTGCGTGGTGTGTGTGGTGTGCGTGGTATGTGCGTGGTGTGTGGGGTGTATGTGTGTTGTGTGTGGTGTGTGTGCGTGTGGTGTGCTTGGTGTGTGGTTGTGTGTGGCGTGTGTGTGTGTGTGGTATGTGAGGTGTGTGTGTGGTGTGGGTTGATGTGTGTGGTGTGTGCGGTGTGTGTGTGTGTGGTGTGTGTGGGTGTGGGTGTAATTGGGTGAGTGCGTGTGGGTGTATTTGTGGGTGTGCGTGTGCGTGTGCGTGTGCGTGTGTGCGTGTGTGTGCGTTTGCGTGCGTGTGCGGTTGCGTGTGCGTGTGCGTGTGCGTGCGCGTGTGTGTGTGTGTGCGTGTGCGTGTGTGTGGTGTGTGTCTGTGTTTGTCAGTATGTGTGTAGGTGTGCCTGAAGGCCTGTGTGTATGTTTGTCTGTGTGGTTATGTGTATGTGTGTCTGTGTGTGCGTGTGTGTGGTGTGTGGTTGTGTATGTGCGTGTGTGTGTGGTTGCGTGTGTGTGTGTGTGTGCGTGTGCGTGTGTGTGTGTGTGTGTCTGTGTCGGTCTGTGTGTGCGTGTGCGTGTGCGTGTGTGTGTGTGCGTGGTGTGTGTGCGTGTGCGTGTGTGTGTGTGTGCGTGTGTGTGTGTGTGTGTGTGTGTGTGTGGGTGTGGGGGGGGGGGGGGGCGTCTGCGTGTGGGAGTGTGCGCGTGCGCGTGAGTGCGTGTGTGTGTGTATGTGCGTGTGCTTGTGTGCGTGTGTGTGTGGTGCGTATACGTGGTGTGTGTAGTGTGTGTGGTGGTGTGAGTGGTGGTGTGTGTGGTGTGTGTTGGTGTGTGTGGTTGTGTGGGTTGTGTGTGGTGTGTGCGTGGTGTGTGTGGTGTGTAGTGTGTGTGTGGTGGGTGCGGTAAGTGTGGTGTGTCTGGGTGTGTGTGTGGATGTGTGTGCGCGGGGGTGTGGGTGTGGATGTGGGCGTGGGTGTGGGTGTGGATGCGGGTGTGGGTGTGGGTGTGTGCGTGTGGGTGCGTGGGGGTGGGGTGTGCGTGTGCGTTTGCGTGTGCGTGTGCGTGTGCGCGTGTGTGTGTGTGTGCGTGTGCGAGTGCGTGTGCGCGCGTGTGTGTGTGTGTTTGTGCGCGTGTGCGTGTGTGTGCATGTGTGTCTGCGTGTCTATGTGTCTGTGTGTCTCTGTGTCGGTCTGTGTGTGCGTGCGTGCGTGCGTGGGTGTTCGTATGTGCGAGTGTGTGCTCGTGTGTGTTCTGTATGGTGTGTGTGGTGTGTGTGGTGTGTGTGGTGCGTGTGCGTGTGTGTGGTGTGTGGTGTGCGTGGGTGTGGTGTGTGTGTGGTGTGTGTGGTCTGTGCAGTGTGTGTGTGGGTGTGTGTGGTAGGTGGGGGTGTATGTGGTGTGTGTGTGTGGGTGTGGGTGTGGGCGTGGGCGTGGGCGTGGGCGTGGGTGTGGGTGTGTGAGTGTGTGCGTGTGTGTGTGTGTGGGTGGGGAGTGTGTGCGTGTGCGTGTGCGTGTGCGTGTGCATGTGCGCGTGCGTGTGCGTGTGCGTGTGTGCGTGTGTGTGTGTGTGTCTGTGTGTTTGGCTGTGTGTCTGTGTGTCCGTGTCTGTCTGAATGCTTGTTTGTCTGTCGGTCTGTCTGTTTGTCTGTGTTGAGTGCGTGTGCGCGTGTGTGGGTGGGTGGGCTGGGATGCGTGTTCGTGTACGTGTGCGTGTGCGTGTGCGTCTGTACGGTTGTACGGCTGTGTGTTTGTGTGGTTGTGTGTCTGTGTGTATGTATGCGTGTGTGCGTGTCTATGTGTGTGTGTCTGTGTGTGTTTGTGTGTGTTGTGTGTGGTTGTGTGTTTGTGTGTGGTTGCGTGTGTGTGTGTGGTTGTATGTGTTTGTGTGTGCTTGTGTGTTTGTGCGTGGTTGTGTGTGTGTGTTTGTGTGTGCTTGTGTGCGGTTGTGTGTGCGTGTTTGTGTGTTTGTGTGTGGTTGTGGTTGTGTTTGTGTGTGATTTTGTGTGGGTGTGTGCTTGTGTATGTTCGTTTGTGTGTGCGTGTGTGTGGTGGTGTGTGTGCTTGCGTGTGTGTTTGTGTGTGCCTGTGCGTGTTTGTGTGTTTGCTTGCGGTTGTGTGGTTGTGTGTGTTTGGGTGTGTGTGTTTGTGTGTGCGCGTGTTTGTGTGTGTGTTTGTGCGTGCTTGTGTGTGTTTGCGTGTTTGTGTGTGGTTGTGTGTGCCTGTGTGTGTTTGTGTGTTTGTGCGTGTGTTAATGTGTGCTTGTGTGTGTGTTTGTGTGCGGGTGTTCGACACCTGCCGCCTGGAGAACTGCCCAGAAGTAAAAACACTATACGTTGTCCAGTGGCGTTTCTGAGAAAGCCCCACAGGACAGGGCCCAGATGCCTTAGTGCATAAAGGCGCGTCTCCCATGCCTGGCCTTCGAGCGTGTGGATGTCAGAGCCGCGGCCAGCTGCTGGCTGGCGTGCTGGCTTTTGCCAGCAGGTCCACCGTTGACCTTCCTTGGGGTGCAGTATGACCAGGACTTCGAGGCGAACCCAGCGGTTGCGACAGGACCCTCCCAGGAGGCCCCCCGAAAGAGGCAGAAACGAGGCAGGGGCAGCGAGCGGCAGCCTCTCTCTCTCGGTTTTCTCTTGTGGCGAGTGTTGCAAGGCAGGACTCGCTGCGCATAGGACATAGAGGACAGAGAGGGGCAGCGAGCGGCATGGCTACCTTTTTCCTCCTCTGAGGCTCGGCGGCGGGGCAGGTCGGAGGCCGCCAGCTGCCAGGCACGGCAGGCCTGTCCAAGCCCCCCATCCCTTGTGGAGTTCGGGCCTCGCGCGGCGACGTGACGGCCCGACGGCACTGCGCCTGCGCCGTGACGCCCCCCGGCACGGCCGCCTCCACGAGTCTGGACGCTGCGCTCCTGCAGCTGGGCCCCGTGCGCCGCCCGCCCCACATGCCACTGCGTTCCCGTCCCTCGTTGCTGTCCCCGTTCAGCCTCGTTCCTCTTCCTCCTCGTCCCCAGTCCCTCGTCCTCCACGTTCCTCGTCATTGTCTTCATCCTTGGTCTCGCCATCCTTCTCCACATCGTCCTCGTCGCCCTCCTCGTCGTCATGCTACTACTTTTCCTGCTGCTCCTCCCTCTACTCTGCAGCTCCTCTGCAGCTCCTGATTCTCCCCATTCTCCTCCTCCCCATGCTCCTCCACCTCTCCCTCCGCCTCCCACCCGAGACGCCCTTCCTCGGCCTCCTTCAGGCTCGAGGCTCTCGCCAGCTGCGCTTGCAACGGTCGCGCATAGCCTCCCAGCAAGCTGAGCGGTAGACCGAGCCCCTTGTGAAGGCGACGGGACGGGGGGCGGGGCTGGCTGGCTGGAGGAGAGACGAGGTCGAGGAGAGAGAGGAGGAAAGTGAGAAGGAGGAGTAGGAGGAGGAGGAGGGAAGATCGAGGATCGAGTTGTTGTTGACGGTTATGTGCTTGCAGAGGCCCCTCTGAGGCTTCTGCAGAGGGGCGTATGGAAATCTCGGGAGGCCTCGCCGGGGGAGCTCCAGAGATTTCATGCCGCCAACGAAGATACCCCTGGCGGGCAGGAGGGAAGTGCTTGGAGGATGGAGGAGTGTAGAGGGATGTTGGGAGGGAGGGAAGAGGAGGACTCGAGGAGATCCTTGCACACATCACACCTGTGCTACAGTGCATCCTCCTGGTTACAGGCCCCTTCCTCAGAAGATCAACGGAATGGCCTATCCTTGCCAGGTACTTCCACCTCATCCGTCTTCACTAACCAACGATAACTGTACAGCCAAATCTTTCAAGATGAAAACCTGGGGTGGTCTTGGCATTGCTTGTCATTCCCTGGCATTTGCATTGATGCTTGGCATTGCTTGGTATTGCGCAACCGGGCAACCCAGGCACCCGAGCAACTGGGCACCCCGGCGACCAGGCAACCCGGCAACCGAGCAACCAGGCAGCCAGGGAATGCAACAGGAGGAACCCAGGCAAGGGTGCAACCGGGCAACCTTGAGGAAGGCCGCGCGCCGCCTCGGACGAGCGACGCCGAACCCATGGTTTTCTTCGCGAACGAGTGAGACACCCTTAAGCAAAGTTTGATTGGAGAGTGAGGAGGGGGAGAAGGGAGCAGGGATGAAACTTAAGGAAAGAGGAGGGGGGGTGCCAAGGAGGCAGAGAGGAAGGATGATGAGAGGATGATGGATCCGTAGGGGCAAGGAAGCAGGGAGAGAACAGTGGGGGCAAGGAAGCAGGGAGGAAGAAGGAAGAAGGAGGGATGGAAGAGGAGGGAAGGACAAAGCAGGCCGTGGAGCGTGGGACCCCTCGATGAGAAGGGCAAGCAGCAGGATCAGGTCAACGGAGTTCGCTCTTCGGGCGATGGCGACGGCGACGACGGCGTTCGTGGCCAGCTCGGAGGGGCCCAGAATAGTATGAGTAGGGGAGGCTCGAGTGAGTAGGGTAGTAAGGTCGAGTGTGCAGTAGAGAAAAAGAAGTGTGTGGCGAGAGAGACGAGCAAGGTCTGGTGGCGCAGGGTGGAGCAGGGCAGGCCAGAGTACAGTACTGTCGGGAATGCTGCTGCGAGTGATACAGTGGAGGCCCATGCCAAGAAACACCCTGCTTGCCCCCAGGGTGCCCTGGGTGTCTTGGGTTTCGATGGTTCTGCTTTGGAAAGCGTGACGTTCCCACAGCAGAAATCAGTGGACGTCCTGAGGTCTCAGGATTAGGTTTCGTGTGGAAGGTTACTTGTCGTCGGGCCCCTACTGTACTGCAACGAGCACGCGAATGTATCGGGGGCGGCTTGGGGAACGTGTCTTATTTCCTCCCTCCCGCCGCTGTTCATCCTCGTTTCGCTTCTCCTGTTCTTCCTCTGGCCTCCACATTCCCAGGGCTCATTTCGACTCCGATTCGAGTCAATTCGAGTCCGATGGCTTCCGATTCCGATTCGGTTCGACTTGGGATTCCGATCTGGGTCTCGAGGTCTCAGTGGAGGCCTACCAGCCTGCCGATCTCCGCCGATTCGACACTTCCCGACTCGGCTGCCGATCTCCGCCGATCCGATTCGTTTCCATCACCGATCCGACTCCTCGATTCGACTCTGGGCCCCCACGCGCCCGCCTGCGCACGCTCACGTGGAGGGTCTCTCCGAAGGGCCTAGGCGACCCGTCATCCTCATCTTCCCTCCTCCCTCCTCCTCCTCCTCCTCCTCCCCCTCCTCCTCCTCCTCTTCCTCCTCCTCCTCCTCCTCATCATCCTCCTCCTCCTCCCCCTCCTCCTCCCTCCTCTTCCTCCTCCTCCTCCTCCTCCTCCTCCTCCTCCTCCTCCTCCCCTCCTCCTCCCTCCTCCTCCATCTTCCCTCCTCACCCTCCCCCTACTCCTTCTCCTCCTCTTCCTCCTCCTCCTCCTCCGCCTCCTCCTCCTCCTCCTCGTCCGCCTCCTCCTCCTCCTCCTCCTCCTCCTCCTCCTCCTCCTCCTCCTCCTCCTCCTCCTCCTCCTCCTCCTCCTCCTCCTCCTCCTCCTCCTCCTCCTCGGGCCGCCCACGGTTCCAGGGGAAACAGTGCACGCGCACGCTTGCCTCCACGTGCACGCGCGCGCACGCTCACCCACCACGCGCACGCCCACCACGAAGCCCACCACCACGCGCGCGCGGCAGGGCGTGCGAGCCACGGGCCCCGCTGCGGAGCGAGGCGCGAGCACGCGAGCACGATGTCAGCACTAAGTCGTGCGTGTCCCTCTACAGGAGGAATATTCAAAAATAGTCCCAAAAAAGTCTGGGGACGATGTGTTGACTACTGTTGTGTATGTTGGAGTAGTTTTCCTAACCATCCTGTTAGGCAGCTCCGCCGAAGGCCCCAGTGCCACCGTCCGAATGCGTCCCGAAAACCCAATGTGGCATGTTCACCCACACGGAACAGCGCTTCGTGGCCCCATAGGGAGCTCCACCGAAGCCCCCAGTGGGACCGTCCGCATGCGTCCCGAAAACCCAATTGGGCATTTTCACCCACCCAGTACAGCGCTTCGTGGCCCCATAGGGAGCTCCACCGAAGCCCCCAGTGGGACCGTCCGCATGCGTCCCGACAACCCAAGTGGGCAGTTTCACCCACCCAGTACAGCACTCCATGGCCCCATAGGGAGCTCCACCGAAGCCCCCAGTAGGAGCGCCTGCATGCGTCCCGACAACCCAAGTGGGCATTTTCACCCACCCAGTACAGCACTCCATGGCCCCATAGGGAGCTCTACCGAAGCCCCCAGTAGGACCGCCCGCATGCGTCCCACACACCCAAGTGGGCATGTTCACACACCCAGTACAGCGCTTCGTGGCCCCATACGGAGCTCCACCGAAGCCCCCAACGGGACCGCCCGCATGCGTCCCACACACCCAAGTGGGCATTTTCACCCACCCAGTACAGCGCCTCGTGGCCCCTCAGGGAGCTCCACCGAAGCCCCCAGTGGGACCGCCCGCATGCGTCCCACACACCCACTTTGGGCATTTTTACCCACCCAGTACAATGTTTCGTGGCCCCATAGGGAGCTCCACCGAAGCCCCCAGTGGGACCGCCCGCATGCGCCCCACACACACCCAATTGGGCGTTTTCACCCACCCAGTACAGCGTTTCGTGGCCCCACAGGGAGCTTCACCGACGGCCCCAGTGATACCGCCCGCATGCGTTCCTCCCCACCCAGTGCAGCGCTTCGTGGCCCCATAGGGAGCTTCACCGAAGAAGAGATTCACAATTGTGGTACCGACAAATGCATATGGTTGGGTCCTTCGCCAGGATAATGTTGCTATGTTTTATTTGTCCTCCAAAATCCGCCTGCAGGGGGACATGCCCGACCTCATGCTAGCAGCTCCTCCCCCCCGCATCCTTTGCCCCCGCCCCCTCCGACGAGTGAGCTCCAAGCCCTCAGCGGTGCGCTGCTCCAGCGCGCAATCCTTGAGAGCAGGAGCGCTCCGGCAGCTCATGCTGCAGATAAGGGTGCTGTCCAGGACCTCCTTCCTTGCGAGGGGGTAACGCTCCAGCAGCCCACGGCGTGCGTGCCTGAATCCACGCTGCACGGGGGAGAACGTTCCAGCAGCCCGCGACGTGCTTTCCAGCGCCCAACCTGTACGAGGGACAACGGTCCAGCGGCACACGGCGTGCGTTCGAGCACTGCGTGTTCAGAGCGCGAGCCTTCCAGCAGCCCACGGAGCCCGCTTCATCACTGCAGTTGATGCCGAGCGAGGCCTTTCGAACCTCGGTCTCAACCAACGCAGACGAATCCACCCAGTCCAGAACCCCATCGGCAGAAGATACCATTGACTGCAGGGTCCATGCGTCAAACCCGTCCGCCCACCCAATCGTAAGGTTGCCCCTTCGCAGCGGTTCGCATCAGAAAGCTTCTCCTTCACACTGGAGGCCGTGTCTGAAGCGATATACAGTCGGACCGAGTATAAGATCGAGGTCGGTTCGGGGAGGGTACCCTAGTGTTCTTCGTGGCTGTTGCATGTTCTTATGCATCCTGGGGAGGGTACCCCTGGATGTTCTGTGTGTTTTGGCCCGCGGAGGGCCCCGTGTTCTTGAAGGATGTTTTTCTGGCCTTGGTCCGACTGTATGCGACTTTGATGCGCAGTGCAACAGGACGAGAAGGAGGAGGAGGACGAGGAGGAGCAGGAGGAGGAGGAGGAGGAGGGGGGAGGGGGGAGGGGGAGGGGGAGGGGGAGGGGGGAGGGGAGGAGGAGAGAGGAGGAGGAGGAGGAGGAGGAGGAGGAGGTAACGATATCACCAAGTCCGTCCACAAGGCCGTGCAAGTGAATGGACCGATGCGCGTGCACCCTGGCAGTGTCGCCGATGCGGCCCGGCGCGCGCGCGGCCCGCGCGGTCGTGTTTGACAGGGATGGGGGCCAGCTCGGGATCGAGTTTCGACGAGCATGCCAGGGCTCGAACGTTCGAAGAAGCAAAGGCGCCACAAGCATAAACTGTAGGCGCTCCGCGCGGATTTCCTGGATCCGCGCTTGGCCTCCCCCCGGCGGCGCCTCCAGCGCCGCCCCTGGCGCGCTCCGCGCGCCAGGGAGGGGGCTCTCACCCAGATCCAAGAAATCCGCGCGGACCTTCGAGAGTTTACGTCTATGCTTGGCATCGCTCGGACGTCTGCATTTTTTCTCGGCGAAAAATGCACGGGAAATGGACGTCCGAGCGACGGCAAGTATGCTGTTTCGCCTTCTCCTGAGCATGACCCTGAAGGTCTTCGGGCGAGCCCGCTGGGAGGGGCGCCTCCTCGGAGGGGCCCCCCCATCCCCGGAGGGCCGCCCCCCTGGCGCCCACCCCGCCCCCCCCTTGCGCGCGCCGCCGAGGCCAGGGGCAGGGACGGGGGGGGAGAGGCTCAGGTCAGGAGGGGGGAAAAACACACAGACACGATCCATCGTCGCCTCCCAGGAAAAGATAGGAACATATGGACAGTGGGGGAGAAGACGCCAACCCAGAAAATACAGGATAATGTGGGGTATCCTGGGATTTGTGTGCATTTGTTTGTGTGTCCCTGGGCCCCTTCACACGCGCAGGAGCAGGCGGGAGGGGCGGGGGCCTCACCAGAGGGGCCCCCTCGCGCGCCTCTCCCCAGAGCACGGACCGAAAGGCGGACCGAGGCATAGGATCGAGGCCGGCTCGGGGAGGGGCACCCTCCGGTTCGTCGTGTCTGTGGTGCGCTCTTGTGCATCCTTGGGGAGGGCCCCCCCCGGATGTTGCATGTGTTTTGGCCGACGGAGGGCCCCATGGTCTCGAGGGATGTGTTTTATGGCTTAGGTCCGACAGTCCCCAGAATGTTGAACTTTTCAGAAGGACGGCGCCTGGTGCCGGATCCGGCCAGGCAGACGCCAGACCGTCTTGAGATCAAGAACAACAGTAACCCTCAATTGAGAACCCCGCCTTCATCCGGCGGAAACATAGCGCATCCCGCACCGCGCGGTATTATTCTAGGCTCCGGAAAACCGCCAGCGAGCGGCGGCGGTCCTTGCGGGGCCCCAGAGATTTGTTGTCGCACTGGCTTGGCAGTCTTTTCTTTAGGGCACCGTTGGACTCCCAGAGGAGTCCTCTAGGAGTGCCCCAAGCCATACTCCCATAAGAGTCCGGTATCCCATAGGAGTCTTACAGCTTCCATGCGTGTCTCATGGAACATCTGTATGACTCCGTCAGTGAATGCCGCGCGCCAGGATTCGTGTTGTAAATTGAATTTGGGTGTTAAGGATATTCCCCCAGGGTCGGTGTGTCGGGGGCGTTATGCCACCGTGGAGTGCCCTACTCGCAAGCCAGAAAAGACACATGCGAGGGATAGGACGTCGCTATTGGAATCGCTTCACAGCGGTGGGGGAAGGGTTGGAGGAGGAGGAGGAGGAGGATGTCGAGACCCCGAGGCTTCGTGGAGATTTCAGTCGGAATTCTGTACGTTTCATGTCCTCTTCAGTTCATTCCAATGTACTACATTTGGATTCGCTTCATCTGTTACTAGGTTGTCATGCGTTGCGTTGAATTGCATGTCTTTTTCCTTTGGTTCTCCGTTACCTTCTGAAATGGTTCGTTCGTAGTCTCTGTGGTATCATCACATTCGATCGGTACAGTTTGCTTTTAGTTGCGCTGCTTGGGACTGCATGCTACTCCTGAGCGCGCCAGAGAGATTCCTCATCTGCTAAGATGGGTTGCATGTCCCCCATCTATTGAGAGTGGGCTCTTATTTTGAACCTGACGCCTTATTCTCCTCACACTCCCGCTCTCCCTTCCACACTGAGACGCACTCATACTCGAACTCACTGACACTCAGACCCACTCGCCTTCATACTCACTCATATTCAGACTCAGACTCAGTAACGGACTCACTCAGACTCAGTTTCACCAACACTCAAACTCACTCACACTCAGACTCGCTCGAACTCAGCGTAGTGTAGCTCAAACCACCCACACTCAGATCCATTGATCCTCAGACTCACTCCTCAGGTCCACGAGACTCGGCGTAGTCACACTCAGACTCGTGCACGCAGACCGCCCACACCCCGATCAGCCACGCCCAGACACGCTCACAGTTGCCCTTCGCGGCCATGCCATGGGGGGCATGTCTCGAGCCGGGCGCTCGTGTTGCACTGGCGACGCCTCGCCTTTCATAGCCCCATGATCACCGCGACGAGGAGCCCAGAGGGCCCTGGAAACGGCAGAGCAGTTCCTCGACAAGTTCCGATCATCTGGTTCCTGCTTATGGAAACGTTCTCTCCATTCAAACACGAAACGAATCACCGAAACGGAAAAAACGTTGCGCCAGAATCAGAACCGCCATCACAGTCGCATAGAGAGCGGCGATTGAACCAGAAAAGCAAACGTCGACGGAACTGGGGAAGAAAAACATTCAATCGGAATGCGGCAACAAAAACGGCCCCGTCGTTTCCAGGGCCCACGAAGTCGAGGAGGTCCCGGATGCCGAAGAGGACGAGGGGGAGGAGGAGGTGGAGGAGGCGGAGGGAGCTGGAGGACGAGGGAGGATGAAGATGAGCGGCAGGAGGACGAGTAGTGGGAGAAGGAGGATGAGGCGATGGACCCAGACTCCAGACGTCGTGATTTTTTCAAAACCTCGACCCCCCGAGCTCTGGACCCCTTCCTCGGGACCGGTTTTTCGTCCTGAGTCGCTTTTTGACGGTCCCGAGGCCCAGGAAGGGCCCCCAGAGGCCGATAATAGCGAAAAATGGCCCGTCGTGATTTTTGTCCACAGCACGAAGAGGTCTGGGGAGGAGGGAGGAAGCCCCTCCCCCGGCTGAGGCATGGCGAAGGCCGCCAGCCCTTCCGGCGCAATGGTGGCTCCCATGCCTGCCGTCGGCACCCGGAACAGCCCCATGGCGCGGGGGGTCAGCGCCGCGTCGGCGGGGGCCGCCAGCCGTCAGACCTCGGTCGGGGCGGGGCACGTGGTGGTCGTCGGTGGCGGCTTGGCCGGCATCGCGGCCGCGTGCGAGCTGCTCGAGTGCGGGTGTTCTGTGACGATCTTGGACCTCGCGCCGCAGCCTGATTGGGGCCAGGGCTCTTCGCGCGGCCCCCCTCCTGCCCTCCCCTCTACCGTCTGCAGCTACAAACAGCAGTCGTTCACGACTGGATTTCTGAAGCGTCGATTTGTGTTGCTTGGCATAGTTATGTTTCTCCACTCCGTATCGTCTTCGGTCCCTCTGAGTGGTGTTTTCGCGTCTTCGCCTGCTCCATGCTTCTATCAGGGCCCATCTCGATTCGATCGATGCGAGTCGATGCAAGTTTTGCCGGTTCGATGCGGTTCGATCTCAATTTTCGGTCGATCCGATATGGTTCGATGAGTGAGGGGCTTGCTTGTGCATTCTGGCGCGGCAGATTCGATTCATTATCGATTCCGTGCCGATGCAGACCGATCCGATTCACGATCCGATCGGACCCGAATTTAGCGATTCGGTGTTGATTGCTCCTGCCCATATACAGTCTAAACTCACTGTAAGGACGCACGGTTGCCCTCAGGGTATCCCTGAGCCCTTGCTCCTGCGGCCCGTCCCTCGCGTTTTTCAATGGCCAGCCCTTCAGGGTGCTGGCAGCCCGCCGCCCAACAGGTGCTGATTTCGGCGTCCAGGGCCCTCGCGTCCTTGCCGCCCGTCCTTGCTACAGAGTTCTGCTGGGAACGGTTTTGCTCACCATGAGTTAAACTAGGGTGAAACTCATTGAGTTTCACCCTACGGCCCTACGGCGGAGGCATTATACAAGGAAGCTGCGCTTCCAGGCCGGACCCTCGGACACTCCTTACATCGTAAGGGTTGGAGGGCGCAGCTCGGGGTCCAGGAAAATGCCTTATGTCATGATGGACACGAGCCCTGCTGTCCACGGCCTCGACCACTTCCTAGAAAAAGTAAGGGATTCCGCCGATTCGAGCGGCATCCTTATCTGGCGGATTTCAGAAAGCCTGAACCCAAAAACGTGTTCATCTCTTGGGGGCGCATGTTTCACTTCCGCCACCTTCCGCCACCTTTCCACCGGCTTCCGCCGGCGGAGGCGGCCTCGTTTGAACTATTGTTGCCGACCTTCCGCCGCCTTCCCGCAGAAGAGATGACAACTCCTTCTGTCCTCGGAGGCAAGACCAACTTTGGAACGCCCGGGGTGTTCCAAAGAGAGTCTTGCCTTCGAGGAGGCGGTGGAGGTTTTGGAGGGGGAGAGAAAAAGGTGGAGGTTTTAAACGGGCCATCTAAAGCTTCCACCGTGTTCTCGGCCACGCGCAGAGGGGTGTAGGGGGAGGGGAGCAGGCTTTTTAGAAGCTCCCCTGCTTCTTGGAAGGCGCGGGCCTTATCTATAGATGTAAGGCCGGCGCCTTCTAAGAAGCGGCCTCCTTCTAAGAAGCCTGCCCCCCTCCCCCTTGTACCCCCCTTCCGCGCGCCGCCAGTGTCCCCTCCCTCCCTCCCACGACCATTTCTCAATCCATCCGCTCCAGCGGGGGCCCTTCTTCAGGGGCAGAGGGCGCGCGGCCTCTCGCAGCGCCAGAGAGCTCGCCACTGGGCCGCCTCCTGCTTCCTCCGCCTCCTCCCACTCCCACTCCTCCTCCTCCTCCTCCTCCTCCTCCTCCTCCTCCTCCTCCTCCTCCTCCTCCTCCGCCTCCTACTCCGCCTCCTCCTCCTCCTCCTCCTCCTCGTCTTGCCCCCCCCCCACCTCGCCATTCGCGGGCGTCGAAGCGGGGGTAGAGAGAGATCATGGCCACAGCCACGAGATCTCCTCGAAGCCATTTCTGACGCTACGCCTCTTGGTCCCCCTCGTCCGCCCATTGGACATGGGGCCATGATGCGCTGACCTCCTTCCTGGGCCCCCGCATCGGCGCACCCGCCAATTATTGTCTGCCCTTGGCTGTGGTCAAGTGTCGTCTTTTCCCCTTCCCCCCCTGCGGCTCTTCCCCTCCACCTGCCCCTTCCCCTTCCTCCCTCCCCCCGGACCCCGCACACGCCCACTCCAGCTCTGCATCGCGTGAGGTTCGAGGCTTCGGCATCAGTTTGCCCGTTTCGTGCGTAGCGCTGTTCGACCATCCAAAATAGCGCCCAGCCGATCGGGAAACGGGGACGGGATGGGAGATAGATAGGACGACGAGGAGAGGAGGAGAGCGGAGGAGGTGGAGGGGGAGGAGACAAGCTAGGTGCGTTCGCGTCATATCTGACATCCTACCCCTCCCTCCCATTCCTTACCATGGCGTAGATATCCTCTCTATTCGCACAGTCGGATGTCGAGCAGGGCAAGGATCGCGAGAGGGTACGCGATGCATGGTAGGGCACGGCATGGCATTGCGTAGAAGAGCACGCCAGAGCGTAGCATACCATAGCATGGCGTGGCATTGTGCAGTGAAGCATTGTATCACAAAGCATTGCACCGCAAACCATGGCATCGCACAGCGGCGCAGAACACAACAGCGCACAGCATGTCATGGCATGGCGCCGGGTTCCTTCGAGGGTAAGTTCATCGTCTTCGAGAGGTTTGGGCCAGTCTGGAGTCGTGGCTCCATGTCTAGCTCCTTGAGCTCCCCGAAAGGCTCCACACAAGGCGGGGCTGATGGAGAGCACCGGCTGGCTCTGCTTTCAACATCACTTTCTCAAAGCCGAAACGGGGCTCCCGCTTGATACTTCCTGAAACGACGACGCACCAAAGAGGGCAGGGCTTCTGCGGCCAAAAAAACAACGAATCGGCACCGAATGTGTAATCACTTCCGATGTTTTTTCGGGAGGGGGGGGGGCATGTTCTAGATTTTGGAGCCTATTTGGAAGGACCGAGAACGCCCGCGCTGCAGCGGGAGCACGATTTGGAACAACCAGAGGCGCAGAAATTGGGCCAGCCCTTCAGCGGGAGCAACAACTCCCAGGAATCTTGTGTGCCAAAAAACAGTAGGCGGAGGGTGGCCTGACAGAAGGCATCGACAGGGGAGAGAGGAGAGTAGTATTCGTATTGTGTAATTGTGGAGGAGGGTACAAGATAGAATGCGCAGGGGGGAGGAGTGGAGGAGGAGGAGGAGGAGGAGGAGGAGGAGGAGGAGGAGGAGGAGTTGGTGCGACGCCATTGTCTCTTGAAGATGACTGATGCTTCACAACCCTGGTGAGGCGGGGGGAAAAGTCAGCGGCGAGCCCGGATGGGGGAAGTGAGAAGGGGCGGGCCTTTTCAGAAGGCTCGGAAGTCCCCCAGCCTTTGAGAAGTGTTCTCAGCCTTCCCCGAAGATACAGAAAAGCCTGTCAGAAGACAGGATGGCTCCTAAGAAGCCCCGCCGCCTCCTGAGAGGGCCTCCTCCTTCTCCGTTCTCCCCCCCTCGCCCGCCGCCGACAAAGGGAAAGCTGGGGGCCGCGCCCCGAAGAAGTGGGAGGCCTCGAGGGCGCCATGCCAGGGCGCCTGGCATGGTGCAGAGGAGGAGGAGGAGGAGGAGGAGGAGGATTCTGGATTCTGCTGGATTCTGCTGGCCTGACCTCCGAAGATGCAAACACGCACAACGGCGGCGAAAACGAGCCTGCCGCCTACCCCCAGGCCTGTCCTGGGCGATAGGGCGGAGAGGAGGAGGAGGAGGAGGAAGGGTCTTGGGCCCGTGTGGCCTGGACCCGCGCTGACCGCCTGCTGCCTGGCTTCTCCCCGCGGTCGGCGATGAGCGCAGGCAGCTGGGGGGAGGGTCGGACGGGGGGCTAGGACTAAGTCGGGCCTGTCCCTCTACAGGAGGCATATTCAAGAATAGTCAAACAATAGTCTGAGGACGATTGTTCGATTTTTGTTTTGCATTTTGGGAGTCTTTTTTATCTTTCGTCGACAATCTGCCTGTAGGGGGAAGTGCCCGACCTAAGGTTAGGACGAGGATAGATCCATGCCAGAGCGTTCTGGTACGCTCTCAGAGCGTTCGGGACCGCTCTGAGAATGGCCGCAGCGCCCGACACATCCCCCAGAATCCGCCAGATCTCAAAGATTCTCGATGTGTCCGTGCCCGATGTTATCCTCGTCCCAGCTTCGTCTTAGAGGGAGGGGGGGTGGGGGGGGGGCGGAGAGAGGGAGAGAGGGGAGTGGGACCAAGGAGGCCACAGGCATCCACGTGCTCCTGCTCGTTGGATGCCTCGGGGTCGAACACACGCGCCCAAGGGCGTGCGGACGCCTCCAGCGGCAGCAGCAGCAGCAGTGCCTCCCACCACCGAGTTCACTGCCGACGTCCGCGCCGAGAAGAGCGCAGGAAAGCCAAGCTGCAGCAGGCGCAGAGGTCAGCGGCAAGTGCAGAAACGATACCCCCTCGCGCGTGCGCAGGCCAGCGGCCGACAGCAACAACAGCTACAGGCACCGTCTCAAGGTCAGCCTGCTTACTTCCGCCGTGGTGGTGGCATTCAGGATTTGACGAGCTCAGCTGGTAGATTGATATCTTGCCGCGGCCAGCGATTGAGGCCGGGCATAGGTTTCACGACGAGAGCTGAAGTTCTGGACACGGCCTCCTCGCACACAGTGGCTCAACGTTTTCAACAGGGTCAGACATGCTCGCGCAGTGTGTTTCAACATTGCCAGGCAGGGTTACGACGATAGAGGGGAGCAATTAGTGGACATTCCCCAGTCCCCAAAAGCTCGAAGTTGGCACGCGCGGGGAAGACTGCGGTCGACGTGCAGCTCCTCAAACCCACCGCCAACATTGATCACTTGGAGGGGGGTGCGTTGACGCATCAATGTGGCATGGGTGTTCGCTAATTTCTTCCAAAGCCTGTGGGCACGCCTCAGGGTAGGCCTCCAGGTAGATCGCTCTAGGTGCTTCTAGAAGCTCTCTCGCGTCAAGCCCCCAGGCTGCTTGCCCGCGGGGGACCAAGCCCGCGCGTGCGTGATGTGCGTGCGCTGGCGCTGCAGGTCGGGGGCAAGCGCGGCCAGCTCCGTCCTGTTCTCAGCCGCCTGGGCCCAGGCAGTGTGGCATGAGTGTTCGCTATTTTCTTCCGAGGCCTGGAGTTCCAGGACTGGTTCCACGGCAAGCGCAAGGATTGCCGCGACCAGCTCTGCCGGCGGCAATATATTTGGCGCTTCGGTGACCCGCCGCTGCTTCTGTGCGGCGCCAGCTGCATTTTTCTTCGGCGGTGGCTTCGGCAGGGCGCAGGACGTTGCCATCAGCTAAGAAGGCTGAACGAGACGACAGCTGCAATATCATGCGCAACGGGAACTCGGGCTAGGCGCAGCCTTTTTGGCCCTGGGCGCTAGCCGCTAACAGGCCCCGAGGCCCGCACCTATGATCATCTCAGGGGTGCGCTTGCCAGGTAGTTCGGGCAGGCAGGGCACAGACAGCGGTAGGCCTGACATCGCATTGCAAAAACCGAACGGTGGCCTCAGCAAGGCGCAGGACGTTGCCATCAGCGTCGAAGATTGGAGGAGACGAGAGCTGCAATATCATGCACAACGGGAAGTTAGGCTAAGTGCGGGTCCCAAACGAAGCAGCTACATCTAGCGCGCGATCTAAGCGAAGGAACGAAGTTATCTCCGTCAAGGCAAAGCAGGTGGATGTCAAGGAGCGGGCTCTCACGACGTCCAAGTCTCGGCCGACTGTCGCATGTTAATTGCAGTGCTCTGGGTAGAGTACCGCACGTGCATGCGACAGGCAAAACCCACCATAGCATCGTCCTCTACAGGTTTATTATTCGACTGCACTGGATGCTGCTCAATCGAGCTGCGGCACTGGCTCGGGAGAGTTCTCGTTCGAACCCGCTTGAGGAACCACGGATTGTTCTTCGGTTACCGCCGGGGGGGCGTCTTCAGTTTCCTCTCGTGTTGCATGTACAATGTTGCATGACAAATGTTGTATGTGTTGTTGGTGGTTGTGGTGTTTGTGGTGATGTTGGTGTCGGTGTTGTTGGTGTTGTTGGTGGTGTTGTTGATGGTGTTGTTGCTGGTGGTCTTGTTGTTGGTGGTCGTGTTGTTGGTGGTGCCGTTGGTGTTGTTGTTGGTGTTGGTGTTGCTATTACTATTGTTGTTGGTGTTGTTGGTGTTGTTGTTGTTGTAGTTGTAGTTGTTGTTGTAATTGTTGCTGTTGGTGTTGTTGATGTCGTTGCTCGCGCAAGGCAGCGTCCGAGCTATGCAGTGCAATTGAATTCGCCGACGCCCGGACGGTTTCACGGGAATCACCATGCGCGCAGGCGACGTAAGTGTCTTGATGCGCCATCCTTCCCATAGACGTCTAGGCTCTTTCAGTGCCGAAGCCTTGGCTGTGAGAATTCTCCATCTTTGTGGGGAAAGATTTCGGACCTAAAATTTCGTGTGCCATACATGTTTCTTTTGTCTCAGGGGGCATCGTCGCAAATCTTTAATCTCCCTGAATTCGATGGTCATTACCAGTGGGGCGTCCAGCTTATTTGGCAGTGTGTGGAGCCGAACCTCGACATCCGAACAGAAATGACATCACTCGACCGTGAGTTCGTTGATCGTGTTGCCAGCCGAACAACTCCACTCGACGCAGTGCCGCCGTTCTCATGTGGAGAGAGTGCGAATTATGGAGAGCATGTCTTGGCTCAAGCTGATCGCCCACATCTGGAGCCGACACATTCTAGGCGATTCGCACGCCGCGCACTCGCACACCATGCCAAGACGTTCAAGCGAAGCGCGGCGAGCTCCAAGTCTTGTATCGATAGAATGACAAACACACATGTTTGTGTGCTCTTGGACATTGACCCTGCAAGAATGGCCACGCTGACGACCGACGTAATTGGACCCCACAAGCGACCGCTTGCCCAGTTCTCTGCACGTGGCTTCGAGACAGCGGCGACGTCGACGACCTTCGGGAGGGAGGCGTTCGTTCTGATGTCGTTCGACACCGAGGAACAAGACGCGGGGTTTCATCGTTCTCCTTTGGTGACGCCAACGATCACCACGTAAGTGCAGGCCGACGGAAGAAAGCGCTGCGCGGACGGGTTCGGGAAGCACCTCTTGCGGTGTCGGTGTAACCCATGCGCGCAATACAGGTAGGCGATACTCCAGATGAGCGCAGCGCCAGAGGTCTTGGGAGGCATTTGGTGGCCGCTGAAGGCCCGAACGAGGCAAAACATATTAAACACACATTGGCCCTCGATCCCCCACCCTCCTTGGTACAGTCTGTTCTGCCGACCACCTGCAGTCGGCGGGTGGGCTGGCTCGCGTTGGCGCTCGCGTTAGCGCGCGCTGTTACCCCTTCCAGAAGTATGAGGGAGACTGGCCTGCTGCGCACGGGCGCGCAATGCTTTGGCAGAAAACAACCAAATGCATGACGCATGGCATTCTGGGCCGATCAAAAAGATGTGGCGGACCGGTCAAAACAATCAGGCGCAGCACAACACCATGATGGACTCCACGACACTAGAGCAGGGGGCACGAGGAACTGTGGGAAGAGGGGGAGGAGCTCATAGCCCTTCCATCCCGAATTCCGATCTCGGTTTCGCTTCGTTCGCAAAGGCAATGCGATGTGGAACCGCCAGAGCTCTAACTCGGTGGTGAGCCCGGGGGGAAAGTGAGAGGGAGAATGCATTCTCAGAAGGCTCGGAAGTCCCCCGGCCTTCTAAGAAGTTTCCCAAGCCCTCCCCCAAGGACACAGAAAACTTCCCAGAATGCGCGAGGGCTTCTAAGAAGCCTTCTGGAAAGGCCTCCTTCTCGCTTCCCCCCCTTGCTCGCCGCCGACTCACACAACAGTGGGCTCGGACGAAAGGAGGTGGTTTGGGAAAGGCTGTGTTCCATATCTGTCGTGGGCGCTCTCCTCTCTCTTTCTCTCTCTCTCTCTCTGATGGCGCCTTCGGCGCCGGAGGGGAGGCGCTGGGGAAGGCCGTCCGCACGCAGCGGATTCGATGTCCAATGTGTCCCTATCCCTTCGGATCGTTCGCCCCGACAGTCCCCCACAAAGAGTGTTTTTGTTACACTCTTGGCCATAACGCGCGTTATGCCCCATAACCTAACGCTCCTATAACGTGCGTTATGCCCCACATCCTCCCCCCCCTCCCCCCCCCATGACCTAACGCTCTCCCCCTCAGTGCGCCCCCGGTCCTGCTGCAGTGCGTCCGTCACAGTTTGGGGAGGGGGGGGCGTTACGTTATGCCCCCTTTCGTCCCCCCCCCAAAACGCCCGTTATGGCCACGAATGAAAAATGCGTTCGTGTTTGTTGGATGTTCTTGTGCACCCTGGGGGAGGGCACCCTCGAGTGGTCTTCCGTTCGGGCCGGCGGAGGGTCTCGTGTTTTTGAGGGATGTTCTTCTGTCCCAGGTTCGACTGTATAAGTGCCGCTCCCCTTTCCCTCCTGACCACGGTTCCGTCAATCTACACCAGAGGCCCATGCGAGAAGCGCCGGAGAGCGCCCAAACATTGTGGCAACGCGATGGTCTGCGCAGAGATTGCACGTTCGCCCCGAGACAGCACGTGCGTCTCCGCTGCACTCCAGTCTGGGAGGGGGCCACTGGAGGTTCATGCAGAATCGTTGGCTCCGGTGGCACGCTAAGACTGTGTTCAAGTGGGCGGACCAGCACGAGGTCTGGATGTGGTTCCGCCTCAGTTGCCCCCAGATTTCTCTGAAGACGGGTCGGAGTATTTGAGCCTCTCAGGTTTGAGTCTTGAGCCTACCATCACACATTGACATATGATTTTAGCATTCGCTCGCAGGACAGACCCCTACGTGGCTAGGAGCTTGAGTGCCATTCGTGTGCACGGCACTCGGGGTAGCTTAGTGTCTTCACGATTATGGCGTTGAGCTCGTCATGGCGCCGTGTCCGCTCCAACAAAAAATGTGCAGGTCAGAAGGAGGAGGCAGAGGAGGAAGAAAAGCACGTTGCGGGGAAGGGAAGAGCTCGAGGAGAGGAGGAGGAGGAGGAGGAGGCATCCTCGATGACGTACGACGAGCTGGGTTCCAAAAAAAACATCATGCGTTGTTGTGTGGCGAAGGTCTTGGACGCCGAACAGCAGCCCAGCGAAGCGGTGAGTGCGATCCCTGCGGCGATTCTGCCCCCCCTTCCCCCACTGCCCCCCAACCCCCTGCCTGCGACGAGAAAGGCGATTCGGGGTTGGCGGGCGCGCTGGAGAACAATACGTCGGGCTGCAAACCGGTGCAAGCTTCCGCCAGCCTTGCCGTCGACGATCGAGGGCCGAGGTGTCTGTTTTTGCTGGGGGGGGAGGCTTCTGGGGGCGCTCCAGTCGTTCTGGGGCGAGACGTGAGACTGAGGAGCAGGATGAGTTGCATTGCTTTCGCAAGCTGGGGCGAGGCAGGTCCTCAGTTCTGCCAGTGCGCCTCAACACGGTTTGCTTGCGTTCTTGTCGTGTGTGTGTGTGTGTGTGTCGCCCCCGCTACCGCCACCCAGCGTGCACGGATTGCGTATCGAGTTGGGAAGCGGTGACACATGCGTTCGCAATATTTGTTCCACCTTCCCCGACTCCTCCACGCCGCATGGTCTCGCTTCCACCTCATCATTCCTACACCTGGCTCTCCCTCGTCTTCCTCCTCTTCTTTCTCGTGTTTTTGCTCTTCCCTCATTCGCCGATCCGCCTCGTCCTTATCCGTCTCTGTTACTTGTCGTCCCCCCTTCCTCTTGCTGCCGCTCCTCCTTGCCCTTCGTTCATCTTCATCCCTCCTTTCCTCTTGCCCTGCTATGGGATGGGTCGCCTCCAGGAGAAGATGCCCAACCTCGGTGGGAACTCCTCCAAAGCCACGTCTGGCATCGCGGTGCCCGGGAGCAAGCTTCAGTCCGAGAAGTACGGCATCGCAGGGGCGACATCAAGGGATGTTCGATCGTGTTTCATCAGTGTCAGCGGTACGATCGGTTGGGTCACACGCACCCCCAGGTGGCAATTCCCCACATTATCCACATGTGGGAGTCAGTGCGACTGATTCGTTTTTGCAGACGATCGAATCGATCTGCAACGAAAGGTAGCCGTTGGACGGCCATTGTTCTTGGGTGGAGGGGGGTAAGGAGAAAAAAGAAGAGGAGGAGGAGGAGGAGGAGGAGGGGGAGGAAAATGAGTGAGGCAAGTCGAGGTGGAGGGGGAGGTGGAGGTGGAGGGGGAGGGGGATGAGAAATATGAAGGGCACGGGCGAAGGGTAAGGAGGACGAGGAATCGGCGAAGGGGGGACGGGCAAGCTATAGATAAAGAGGAGGGGAAGACGAAGGAGGAGGAGGTGGATGAGGACGAGAGAGGGTGTCCGTGGCCAGTTTGCCTCCTGCCAGGTGCCTGGCAGTCGTAGCCCCTGGTTTATAGCCTGGTAGCTTCGCCAGCTTGGCTCAAGTGGGTTGGCTGGCTCATAGCATGACGGTAGCGGCGGGACTCGCCTTGCGTGTGTGTGTGTGTGTGTTGTGTGTGTTGTGTGTGTTGTGTGTGTTGTGTGTGTTGTGTATGTTGTGTGTGTTGTGTGTGTTGTGTATGTTGTGTGTGTGTTGTGTGTGTGTTGTGTGTGTTGTGCGTTGTGTGTGTGATGTGTGTGGTGTGTGTGTTGTGTGTGTTGTGTGTGTTGTGTGTGTTGTGTGTTGTGTGTTGTGTGTGTGTTGTGTGCTGTGTGTGTTGTGTGTTGTGTGTGTTGTGTGTGTTGTGTGTTGTGTGTGTTGTGTGTTGTGTGTGTTGTGTGTGCTGTGTGTGCTGTGTGTGTTGTGTGTGTGTTGTGTGTGTTGTGTGTGTGTTGTGTGTGTTGTGTGTTGTGTGTGTGTTGTGTGTGTGTTGTGTGCGTTGTGTGTTGTGTGTGTTGTGTGTGTTGTGTGTGTGTTGTGTGTTGTGTGTGTGTTGTGTGTGTTGTGTGTGTTGTGGGTGTGTTGTGTGTTGTGTGTGTGTTGCGTGTGTATGCGTGTGTGTTGTGTGTCTGATGTGTGTGGCGTGTGTGTTGCGTGTGTGTTGCGTGTGTGTTGTGTGTGTTGTGTGTTGTGTGTTGTGTGTGGTGTGGGTGTGTTGTGTGTTGTGTGTTGCGTGTGTATGCGTGTGTGTTGTGTGTCTGGTGTGTGTGGCGTATGTGTTGCGTGTGTGTTGTGTGTTGTGTGTGTTGCGTGGTGTGTGTTGCGTGTGTGGTGTGTGTGTTGTGTGTTTGTGTGTTGTGTGTTGTGTGTGTTGTGTGTGTTGTGTGTGTTGTGTGTGTTGTGTTTGTGTGTGTGTTGTGTGTGTTGTATGTGTGTGTGTGTGTGTTGTGTGTGTGTGTTGTGTGTGTGTGTTGTGGTGTGTGTGGTGTGTGTTTGTGTGTTGTTGTGTGTGCGTGTTGTGTGTTGTGTGTGTGGTGTGTGTTGTGTGTGTGTGTGTGTTGTGTGTTGTGTGTGTGTGTGTTGTGTGTGTGTGTGTGTGTGTGTTGTGTGTGTGTGTGTTGTGTGTGTGTGTGTTGTGTGTTGTGTGTTGTGTGTGTGTGTTTGTGTGTGTGTGTGTTGTATGTGTGTTGTGTGTAGCGTGTGTAGCGTGTGTGTGTGTGTGTGTGTGTGTGTTGTGTGTGTGTGTGTTGTGTGTGTTGTGTGTGTTGTGTGTGTTGTGTGTGTTGTGTGTTGTGTGTGTTGTGTGTGTTGTGTGTGTTGTGTGTGTTGTGTGTTGTGTGTGTTGTGTGTGTTGTGTGTGTTGTTTGTGTTGTGTGTGTTGTGTGTTGTGTGCGTTGTGTGTTGTGTGTTGTGTGTGTTGTGTTTGTGTGTGTCGTGTGTGTTCTGTGTTGTGTGTGTTGTGTGTTGTGTGTGTTGCGTGTTGTGTGTGTGGTGTGTGTGTGTTGTGTGTTGTGCGTGTTGTGTGTGTTGTGTGTGTTGTGTGTGTTGTGTGTTGTGTGTTGTGTGCGTTGTGTGTGCTGTGTGTTGTGTGTGCGTGTGTCTGTCTGTGCGTGCGCGCGAGACATTCACACAATTGCACACACAAGTATACTTCCTCTTCGTGTGGATGGCCGGATCGATGATCATGCCTTGGGCACGTGGTTTTGTGTGAAGCCGCAATCATTGCGTTGGGTTCTGCTCAGAACGCCGAAATGCATGCGACGGCAAAGTCGTACCCGGTCGTACCCCATCTTTTTCATTCCTAACAATTTTGTGCGGTTGCGTATTCGTTTTGAATCCGCGGACCTCCGCGTTTTTCATTATTTCTTCCTTTCTTCCCCATCCTCCATCATCTCATCCCTACCTCTGTCCTCCGCATGTCCATTTCACGCGCGCTTCGTGATTCCATAGGGGGCTCCACCTAAGCCCCACAGTGGGTGCGCCCACATGCGGCTTCCCGCCCATCTCGGCACAACCCCTGCGCGTCCCGCCGCTCCATAGGGAGCTCCACCTAAGGCCTCCGTGGGTACGTCCACATGCGGCTCCCCGCCCATCTCAGCACACCCCTCACACGCTTCGTGGCCCCACCGGGGGCTCCACCTACGGCCCCGGTGGCTGCGTCCACATGCGGCTCCCCGCCCATCTCAGCACACCCCTCACACGCTCCGTGGCCCCACTGGGGGCTCCACGTGAGGCCCCGGTGGCTGCGTCCACGTGCGGCTCCCCGCCCACGTCGGCACGCCCCCATCACGCGCTTCGCGGCCCCTCCGGGGGCGGCACGCCGCCCCACAGCGGGCGCGTGCACGCGTGCGGCTCCCCGCCCCCTGTCGGCACAGCCCACCACGCGCTTCGTAGCCCCACGGTGAGCTGCCCCCCTTTCGTTCCGCCCGCACTGCGGCACTCCCACTTGCACATGGTCGGCCCCTCGTCGTGATGACGCTCCAACCTGCTTCGGCCTGTCTCACCACAGGGAGCTTCGAGCACCAAGAAGCACCGAGACTGGAGGGTTTTCGCGCGTCGGGCTCCGGGAGGCGATACTCGCTCGACGCTGCTTCGATACCTCCCTGGGTGCTCGAAACTATTTCTGGGACCTGGCGCTCAGATACGATGGGAGCAACGTAACCTTAAGTCGGTCGTGTCCCTCTACAGGGGGAATCTTCAAAGATAGTCAAAAATAATCAGGGGACGATGTGTGGGGCATGTGTTGGCTACTGCCGGGCATTTTTGGGGTATGTTCTATCTTTCGCCCCACAATCCGCTTGCCGGGGGAACCGCCCGACCTGAACGCAGCCCTCGCCGTGATGGTCGGTCCTTGCTTGCCCCCCCCCGCCCGGCCCCCGCGTCGCCCTCCGCCGCCCCAGGCCTGCAGGACGACGGCGCGGACCTCGTGCGGCAGGGCGCGGGCTCCTGGCTGAGGGGGGCCCCAGCCGACGTGGAGTGGCTCCTGAGCAGCCTGGGGCTCCAGGACCAGGGGCGACGACGGGGGCGAAGGGCCCCTGGGAGAGCCACACAGGGCATCCAGGGGCGCCGATGGTCTGTGTCTCCGACGAGGCTCCCGGGCGAATGCGTGCAGTGCCCGCCCCTGGGCTGTTCGCCCTCATCGTCGCCGCCGACAGGACCAGGGCTCGTCCCGATCCCTCCGATTCGACTTCGGATTCGATCTCGGAGGCTTCCGATTCCGCTTCGGTTCGATTTCGGGTTCCGACGTGGATCCCGATGCCTTGCTGGAGGCACACATTAGCTTGCCGATGTCCACCGATTCGGCTTCTCTCGACTCGGCTGCAGATTTCCGCCGATCCGGTTCATTGCGATCGCCGATCCGACTTATCGATTCGATTCTGGGCTCTCCTACCAGGACCCGCGCAGCTTTCTCGCGTTTGGAGCATCGCTCGGACGTGTGCATTCTTTCTCGGCGAGGTCCCTCGAGGAGCATCTAGGTCAGCTTTCGCGAAAAATACATGCACGGAGCCGAGAAACGCACGGGGAGTGGACGTCCGAGCGACGGCGAGCGTTTGGGGCCCGGGAGAGCCCAGCATCTGACAGCGCAGAAGCACAAAAGTAGAGCAGCATGCGCTGCAGGCGGTGCTGGATTCTGGAGCTTTCTCCTGCCCTCCCTCCCCTCCCTTTTTTTGAGGACGAGAGGATGGGCGGCGGGGCCGACTGGGTCTGGAACGGCTCGCACGGGACGCCCCACATGAGCGCGTGTAGATTGACATAGACATGCATGTGCCGAGAGCGACAAGCGAGCGTGTTCGGGCGAGCCGCCATCCAGATCGGGTCCTTTTTCGCGGTGGCGCAGCCTGGCCGCCCCATCTGGCAGGGCTCTAGAGGAGCGGCCGTCGGGCGACGTCCGCCCGGGCCGCGAACCCTGACGAGGGCAACGATCGGTCGGCGGAGGCCAAGAGGAGGGTTTCTCCGAAGGGCTTAGGCGACCCCTCCTCCTCCTC